AGGATGACATTTAAGGTAGTCATCAATTTCATTATAGGGGAAGGGCATTTAAGGTAGCCTCTCCACTATTCCTTACATTCTTAGTTGGGATCATCCTTGTAGAGTTCTGGACATTTCCCTAGTGCTAGATTTCTCTTTAAACCTATAATAGCGCCTCCAATAAGGTATCTTTTTTCTTGCTCTCCTCTATTCATCCCCTGACTCAATCTTCTTGATCTCTCCTCTTCTCCCTTCCTCTTTCTCCTACCTCCCTCCTCACCTCCCACCCCCAACCCCCACCCCCTGTGCTCCCAATTTGTTCAGGAGCTCTTGTCCCTTTCCCCTTCTCCGGGGGAACATGTATGTCTCTCTTAGAGTCCTCCTTGTTTCCTAGCTTCTCTGAAGGTGTGGATTGCAGGCTGGTAGGCTGTTAATCCTTTGCTGTATGTCTGATATCTATATATGAGTAAGTACATACTATGTTTATCTTTCTGTGACGGTTACCTCACTCAGTCTAGTTCTATCCATTTGCCTGCGAATTTTAAGATTTTACTGTTCTTTTTTCCCCCTGCTGAGTAGTACTCCATTGTGTAAATGTACCACATTTTCTTTATCCATTCTTCAGTTGAGGGGTGTCTGGGATGCTTCCAGATTCTGGCTATGAACATAGTTGAACAGATGCCCTTGTTGTTTCTGCATCCTTTTGGTATATGCCCAAGAGTGGAATTGCTGCATCTTGAGGTAGACTGATTACCATTTTTCTGAGAAACCACCATACTGATTTCCAAAGTGCAAGTTTGCACTACCACCATCAGTGGAGGAGTGTTCCCCTTTCTCCACATCCTCACCAGCATAAACTGTCTTTGGTGTTTTTATTTTAGCCATTTTGACAGGAGCAAGATGGTATCTCTGAGTTGTTTTGATTTGCATTTCCCTGATGACTAAGGATGTTGAGCACTTTCTTAAGTGTCTTTCAGCCATTTTAGATTCCTCTATCAAGAATTCCCTATTTAATTCTGTATCCCACTTTTTAATTGGATTATTTGGTATTTGTTGACTAACTTCTTGAGTTCTTTGTATATTTTTGAAATCAGGCCTCTATTAGATGTGGGGTTGGTGAAGATCTTTTCCCATTCTGTGGGCTGCTGTTTTGTCCTGTTGACTGTGTCCTTTGCCTTACAGAAGCTTCTTAGTTTCAAGAGATCCCATTTGTTAGTTGTTGATCTCAGTGTCTGTGCTACTGGTGTTAAGTTCAGGAAGCAGTCTTCTGTACCAATTCCTTCCAGGGTACTTCCCACTTTCTCTTCTAAGAGGTTCAGTGTAGCTATATTTATGTTGAGGTGTTTGATCCATTTCCACTTAAGTTTTGTGCATGGCAATAGATATGGATCTATCAGCAGTCTTCTACATGTTAGCATCCAGTTATGCCAGCACCATTTATTGAAGATGCTTTCTTTTTTCCATTGTATAGTTTTAGCTTCTTTGTCAAAAAATGAGGTGTTCGTAGGTGTGTGGATTTGATTCCATTGGTCTACCTGTCTGTAGCTATAGTAGAGGGTTAGTGATGCCTCCAGCAGTTCCTTTATTGTACAGGGTTGTTTTGGCTATCCTGGATCTCTTGTTCTTCCATATAAAGTTGAGTATTGTCTTTTCAAGGTCTGTGAAGAATTGTGCTGGGATTTTGATGGGGATTGCATTGAATCTGTAGATTGCTTTTGATAAGATTGACATTTTTAATGTGTTGATCTTCCTATCCAAGAGCATGGGAGATCTTTCTATTTTCTGGTGTCTTCTTTAATTTCTTTCTTTAAAAACTCAAAGTTCTTGCCATACAGGTCTTTCACCTGTTTGGTTAGAGTTACCCCACGATATTTTATGTTGTTTGTGTCTATTGTACAGGGTAATGTTTCTTTGATTTCTTTCTCAGCCCATTGATTTTATATATATATATTAGGGCTACTGATTTTTTTAGTTAAGCTTGTGTCCTGCCACTTTGATGAAGGTGTTTATCAGTTGCAAGAGTTCTCTGAAGGAATTTTTCGGGTCACTTATGTAAACTATTATATCATCTGCAAATAGTGAAAGTTTGATTTCTTCCTTTCCAATTTGTATTCCCTTGATCTCTTTTTGTTGTCTTATTGCTCTAACTAGAACTTCAAGTACAATATTGAAGAGATATGGAGAGAGTGGATAACCTTGTCTTGTTACTGATTTTAGAGAACTTGCGTTGAATTTCTCTCCATTTAGTTTGATGTTGGCTGTTGACTTGCTGAGGGATGAAATCAATAAAGTAGAAACAAAGAAAGCAATACAAAGAATCAATGAAAGAAAGAGTTGGTTCTATCAACAAAATAGACAAACCTTTATTCAAACTAACCGAAAGGCAGAGAGAGAACATGCAAATTAACAAAATCAGAAATGAAAAGGGGGACATAACAACAGACACTGAGAAAATCCAGAAAATCATCAGGTCATACTTTGAAAACCTGTACTCCACAAAATTGGAAATTTTAAAGGAAATGGACAATGTTTTGGATAGATATCACTTACCAAAATTAAATCAAGAATAGATAAGCATTTTAAATAGACCTATAATTTCTAGACTAGGGACATCCCCATGGAGGGCCTCACCCTCCCTGGGGAAATGAGGGAATAATGGGGGGGTTGGGGGGAGGGCACGGGAGGAGGGGAGGGAAAGGGAGAGGGACCTGGAACTGACTTGTGAAGCAACCTTGTTTCTAATCTAAATTTAAACTTAAAAATAAATAATAATAAAAAATAAATAGACCTATAATTTCTAACGAAATAGAAGCAGCCATCAAAAATCTGAAAACAAAAAAAGCCCAGGGCCAGATGGTTTCAGTGCAGAATTCTACCAGAAATTCAAAGAAGAGCTAATACCAACACTCAATTGTTCCACATAATAAAGGCAGAAGGGTCACTGCCAAACTCTTTTTACGAGGCAACAATTACCTTAGTACCCAAACCACACAAAAACACAACTAAGAAAGAGAACTACAGACAAGTCTCCCTCATGAACATCGATGCAAAAATACTCAATAAAATACTGGCAGATGGAATCCAAGAACACATCAGAAAAATCATCCACCATGATCAAGTAGGCTTTATCCCAGAGATGCAAGGATGTTTCAACATACGCCAGAGATGCAAGGATGTTTCAACATACGAAAACCTATCAGTGTAATCTACCACATAAACTGAAAAAGAAGAACCACGTGATCATTTCACTAGATGCTGAAAAAGCCTTCAACAAAATTCAACACCCCTTCATGATAAAGGTCTTGGAGAGATCAGGGATAGCAGGAACATACCTAAACATGATAAATGCAATATACATCATCTTTTTGTTTTGATTCAAAGTAAGTTATATGGCAGGTGTTAACCTGTCATGTTTTTGGTTTTTAATCAAAGACATTTCACTATTTTTTATGAACCATGAATTAGCATTCCAGTCTAGATTTGTTTCATGAGTAGTAATTCAGGTCAAATATCTGTACTGCCTTCTTGAGTGGGACTTCAAGTGACCTGTCATGCTTTCTGAGTTTGATCACGTGTAAAGTGTGATGTTGAAGGTCTTAAAATTATTTCTATATGTTGTAACTTGAGAATAACCAGTGCCTGGCTGTGGCACTTAGTAGGCAGGAGCTAGTGGATCTCCATGATTTTGAAGACATCAGGGTCTATATATCAAGTTTCAGGACAAGCCAGTGCTACATAGAGAGACCTTGTCTCAAAAAAAAACACAGGAAGAGAATGAAGAAGAGATGGGAAGGAAAAAGGAAGGATGAACCTGTGGAATTGTTGAGACCTTAAAGATCCTGCTCTCAAACATTTTTTTTTTTTGGTTTTTCGAGACAGGGTTTCTCTATTGTTTTGGAGGCTGTCCTAGAACTCACTCTGCAGACCAGGCTGGCCTCGAACTCACAGAGATCCACCTGCCTCTGCCTCCCAAGTGCTGGGATTAAAGGCGTGAGCCACCAATGCCTGGCTTCTCAAACGTCTTTTACCTGACTAATTTTGATAACCTTGTTGGAGCTAATTAGTACTTGGTAGTTGCAAAATTTTCTTCCACATCAGTTAATTTTCTCAAAGACCTACCCTGCTTTTCTTTTTAAGTATCATTAGGAATTCAGATATTCTTTACATTATATTGTATTTAATTATATTATTTATTATCCCTCCTTTGTTCTAGCCTTCTTTTTGTCTCCCAAAGTGTGTGTGTGTGTGTGTGTGTGTGTGTGTGTGTGTGTGTGTGTGTGTGTGTAGATCAGTGTAGATCAAGATTCAGGACCTTGTACTGCTACATAAACATCATACCAAAGAGCTACACCACAACGCTTATTCATTGGAACACAAAAATAATCCAGATTTGGCCAATGTCATCCACGTTGCCATTGAACCATAAAATATGAGTTAAAGTAGTCTACTTTAGGCCTCACATAATTTCTAGTATTCTAATAACAAGAATAGGGAAAATTAGCCAGGCATTGGTGGCACACGTCTTTAATCCCAGCACTCGGGAAGCAGAGGCAGGCGGATCTTTGTGAGTTCGAGACCAGCCTGGTCTACAGAGTGAGTTCTAGGACAGCCTCCAAAACAATACAGAGAAACCATGTCTCGAAAAACCAAAAAAAAATAGGGAAAATTAGAAAATTAACCCTAGGTTGGAGGCTTGGTCAGGCCTTCTTCTTGTATATAGCCAACCCAGAGGGAGACTTGAGCTGAGGAGAGAGGTTTCTGCAGTCCATGTCACCTATTTCTTCTCCTTTGTTTTAGGCACAAACTCACCCTGACACACACCCTTTGAGCACCTCTGTCCTCCTTCATGATTACTTTCAATATCAGAGAGCAGTAATTTACTATTGAGACCACACCTAACTGCCCGTGTCGCATGCCTCAAGAACTCCTTCCTTTACAACCCTATGGTGGCCTTGACCTGCCTCTTCTGCACCTCAGTAAGACTTTCCCAGTAAACCAGTTCTCTGTTTTTCCATTTATAGGGTTTTACCTAGACACATGGCCTGCTGCCTCTGCAAATATAAAAGTGATATTGAGGTTGTCTGCAAGACAGTCAAACTGCATTGTCATACTGGATGTCTGATAAACACCACACATTGTCGTGAGTCTCTTGCCTAATGTTTTAATTTTATGTCTTAATATTTAACTAGTTATGAAAAATTAACTAAAAGTAATTGCTTATTTTTATTCATTCATCCATAACTTCTCCTTTGCTGAAAAAAATAGAACTGTTCCACAAGCAGAAAGAGCAAGAGAAAGAAGTGAATGGGAAAGGGATACATGCCCTGCACTATGCTTCTGCCTGGTACCTTGCTTCCAATGATTACTTAAGCATGTAGTGCACTGCAGTCTGTAACCTGGTTTTATGTACATTAGGTCTCAAATGATCTCTGACTTTTGGACATCTCTAGATGGATTTTGTTCAATTTTTACAAGGAATACCTTTTTATTTAGAATCTGAGAGCTTCTGTTCTGTATGACCAGTGAGTGGTGCCTCATTCCGCTAATGGAGCAGAGTGCTTATCCATGCCTGTACTGACCAACTGTCTACTTGCTTTCAACCTCAGGCTTTTTCTATCACCAGATCATGTAATTTTAAGTGTTTTTCTAAACTGAAATAGTGTCACATGGCAGTAATCCCAACTACTCAGGAGGCTGAAAAAAGGTGATCCAAGTTCAAGGCTAGTCTAGGCTGTTTAGTGAGAACCTATCTCATTTCATTTTCTCTTAATTTTAAAAGCAGACAGGGATAAAACCCCATGGTATAGCTTGTGCTTGGCCCTAAAATATTTTTCTGTATGTTAGGTTTGCTAGCAATAACTTCATTCCAAAATATTACAGCTGTCTTATCTAAATACATTGAATGCAGGTCATTAGCCTTGATCTGGGGAAGATAAATAGAATTAGCATTTGGCTGTCTCTATAAATAAGATGCTACTTATTTTTAATTTAAAAAGTTTTAACCAATTACATTATTCTTTTCTTCCCCAGAAATGGCAAGTAATCATTTCCCTTCTTTTACACATCAGAAGTGTCAATGTCTGCCATCTCATGCTTGAGTTCTCTCTCCCTAATTCTAGGCTGTCTACAGGCCTACATTTTTCCTTTCACTACTCCCTTAGGGCTTCACCCACAATCCTCTTAATTCTCCTGGGAAAGAAACACAGTGGTCCACTTGACCTTCACACTACCAGAAACTTTGCAGTATTCCCACATGGAGCTGGAAGAATGAGACATGAAGTGAGAAATTGCTATTGTTTTGTAAATGGATTGTACATAGGAATAAACCCAGGACATTAAACATGTCTTCACCTGTACCTCATAACCTCCTCTCCCCAAATATAAGAAAAGAACCAGAAAAATGCACAGATAGGATGCTTCTGTTGCAGGAGCTAGAATTCCTGGCAACCGAGTCTACAGGAAGAAATTGGGTGGCTAACTGGATGAGAGGCACCTGCCTTAGCATTTCTGCCCTCAAAGGATGTCTGCCATCATGATCAGATGTGGGCACATCAACACAGTTCACGTTGAAAAAATGGAGAGAGAGGAACCTAGTGGACCTTTCACATCTGAGGCAGGATAGTGTGGATGTAGGAGTCTGTGGAAGTTCTCTGCAGGTCAATCAGACATGCAGAGAAACTGGCATTGTCTTCAGGCCCTGGGTCTCTACTGGTCAATTGGCTATCTTGAATAGACTTCCTGAGTGCACTCTGTGCAGTATTCCTAGAAGGTGACTACTTTGCCAGTGGCAATTTCTTTCTGTTGCTGCCATTTCCCAGGGTTAAAGTTTAGATTTATTTCCCACACACACTAACAGCACACCAGCATTTGCTGGCCCTAATTTATTTGACTACAATGTATGGCTGTGGACTGAGAAAGGACTAAAAATATTCTCTGACTAAGTCAATCTCTTCCTTTTTGACAGTTGAAGAAGCATCTATAGGGAACCCTGAAGGAGCATTCATGAAGGTGTTGCAGACCCGGAAGGAGAACACCAGTACAGAGCTCATTATTGAACCAGAGAGGGGCTATTCAGACAAAGAAAATGGCAGTTACTCAAGCTCCATGGAGGAAGAGATCGACTTTAGTGATGAAAATGATGTTATGAGTGCACTAAATTACATACTGCCATATTTTTCTGAGGGAAATCTAGAAGATGTAGTATCAACAATGTTACCATATATTAAACTGCTGTTTTCTCATGAACAAGATTCAGATAATTCCTTGGGATCTTTGCAGAATGATACAGACAGTCTTTCTCTTACAAATGAATCTGAGTCCGGTAACTTCACTTTCAAAAATAAATTGAATAAACTTTATTTTCTAGAAAATTTGTTAGATGCAGAAATTGACGAGGTTAAAAAGGAAGGGAAACCTGTAGTACATAAGGAGAAGTCTAGTAATGCAGGTAAAAAGTTTAAGCGAGAAATATTTGAAAAGAGATGGGAGCCTGGCCGTGCAGAGGAAGACAGTCTTGCAGAGATTGAGAAGGCAGAGAAAGGACTCCTCCACAGGATGGACACAGTGCTCAAGGGGACAGGAAGCATACAGAAAAGGCACTTCAAGGAAGTGAGTGACAAGAGCCTGTGGAGTAAGCAGAGTGTCCGGACACCTGTGGAGAACATCGCCAAAGATGGGCAGCTCAGAGGCCCACGCACCACAGAGCTGCAGCAGTTCAGTCTGGTGCAGAAGCCCAGGAAGTTAGTGGGAAATTCCTTCCACTCAGAGCCAGTGCTTCCAACAGAACCCGGGGAGGCAGTGTCTTCTTCCCCAGAACCGTCCCTGGTGGACAAAGCCCCCACTACAAATTCGCTACCTGAGTTCATAGATAGACGAAAAGACTTGTCTTACACCATTTTTGTTTTAGAAAGGGCAAATGCCAATGTGAAAAGAATGACGGGGTCTAACCCTAGTTTACAGTCTGAAAAGAGACATGGAAACCTTAGGAAGAAAAAATCTCATTTCCAGTTGATTGCAAAGAGGCCAGCATCCTCTGCATTGATAAGCCTGGTAAATTCCCCTTCACGAGGATTCTTTTCATCTGTAGGAGACCTGAGTTTTGCAGAAAAGCCTTTTTCAGAATCATATGCTACTTCAGAACCTCCTACAGAAAAATTTCTTGAAGAAAACCAGGATATAACAGATAATAGTGAAGAAAACATCATTGAACCACCCATCATTTTACCTGAAGAAGCTGCATCAGAGAATATACCCCCTGAGATTCCTGCTGTAGAGTCTGATGTGCCTCCATCCAATTTAATACCAACTGTTCAGCAAACCAAAGAGCCACCTTTAAACCTCATGTTGGAATCTGACACACATCACCATTTCGACTCACATGACCATTTCAACTCACATGAGCATTTCAAAGAATTTCCTTACCCAGTGTTGTTGATGTCACCGGGTGAACACTTTGAATCTCAGCTAAACCAGCAGCTGCAGCCCCTCATCCCCAACAGCGATGTGAGAAGGCTTATTTCTCATGTTATCAGAACTTTGAAGATGGACTGCTCTGAACCCAGCGTGCAACTGTCCTGTGCCAAACTCATCTCCAGAACAGGCCTCCTGATGAAACTTCTCAGTGAGCAACAAGAATTAAAGTTGTCTAGGACCGAATGGGATACAGACCAGTGGAAAAGTGGAAACTACATCAATGAGAATATAGAAGCCCAAGGTGAACCGAAGGGTCTGGAACCAAGTCAGGTGAGGACAGTGCTGGAACGTGACCTATCCTTCTCAGTCATTTAAGCAGAAAGACCAGAGGCTCCCGCTCTAGATCTTGTATTGGCTATGTAACTCTAGCCCAGCCAAGACAGCGATTCCCACTGTGCTTCTAAATCTTTGACAGAAACCAACCTAAAACACAAAATAAAATAACTGCATTAGATAGGTAGCACATTCAATTTGGTATGTTCTTTTAGGATATGCATGACACTGAAGTAGAGAATTCATATTAGCTTTTTTTTTCTTATTGTCATTTTGTTTCACAGTGTTGGGGATTAAATTTAGGACCATATATATATATATATATATATATTATGCAAGAATTTGACCACTAAGCTACATACTGTAGCCCATAGTTATATTTTTGTTTATTGGTTTGTTGGGGAATTTTGTTTTGTTTTGTTTGAGATAAGGTCTCACTACTTAGTTATGTCTAGCCTGGAAATTGCTATGTAGACCAGGCTGGCCTTGAACTTGAAGAGATTCATCTGCTTCTGCCTCCAGAGTGCTAGGATTAAAAGTGTGTGCCACATCACCAAGTCCATCTCTTAGTGTTATTGAGTCAAAGTCTTAATGTGTAATCCAAGTTATCTTGGAACTTACCTGGTATTCTAGGTTGATCTTGAACTCAGGGCAGTCCTCCTATCTTAACTTTCCAATTGCTTGATTATATACATAAGCTACCATGCACAGCTCAAGAATGAATTTTGAACAATTAGCCTTCCCCTTCTTGCATTCTTTTTACTTTATTATTATCTAACAACCACACAAATGTCATTTATTTTATATATTCCAGCGTGCAAAAGAAGTTCCAGGATTCAGCTACAACAACAAAGTCATCTTGGCAGTATCTATAACTGCAGTAGTCACAGTTTTGATTATCATCTTCTGTCTCGTTGTGGTAAGAACAACAGTCCATTGATATTGAAGGTGTGGTGGAGTGGGTGTGGGTTCATGCAGGTCCATTGAAAGAAGGCTCAGAGATACCTTAAGAATGTACTTAGCCGTTTATGGCTGCAGGCGTCTCCAGTCTCTATGGACTGAAGTACTTTCCCCTAGCCCAGGGTTACATCAGGAAACAGTTTTCCAGGTTTCCCCGAACCAAGTTTTACATAGGCTTTGCATCCTTGGGAAACTCTCAGACAAGATTCCTATAGGGGAACAAGAGAAACAAAGGGTATCTGCTAAACATAAGATGGATTAGGGCTAACATTCTGGCACCAGGCCCGCAGGAATCCTGCCACACATTCATGTGTCCAGAATATACCCTGTCTGTGTAATAGATTTAGAACCTGTGAACTGAAAACCTGAGCCACTTACCCTCTCTGTCTACAAGTAATAATGTCCCCATGTGTTCACAGGTATTCTGTCTGTGAAGCAGGACTCATCAATGTCAGGTCACTGTGTAACATTGATTTGGTGTAAGATGGGTGGTGTTGGTGCGAGACTCTGTGGGAGCAGTGGAAAGTTCTCTGTCAATGAGGATGGTGAATTTTGAGCCTAGAGGGCAGAGATCAACATGGGGTCAGTTCATGAACCCCCTGGGAGGATGTCCTCTGGCCACTGCATAGACAGCACCTGCACACCTGCTGTGGGTGCAACCTCCCAGGAATTATCTGTGAAGTCCTATATTGCTCTTTAGTTGTGTGTACAATTCACCCTGTGCTTGCCTTTATTCATATTTTCATTATTTCTTCTGCCAGTTTAAATGATGGACTCTGTAAGAACAGCAAGCATGCCCAGTGTTTTGCCTGTAGTAGATAGCAGTGGTGTTCAAAGAAGAGAAGTGAAGCGTTCCATTAGTTCCACTATGGAGAATGATACAATCCAGTACTTACTTAAAATAACAGCAGAGAAAGATGTTTGGCACACTCCCATAGCCTGAGCTCTTGGGAAACAAAATCAGGGAGATCCAGAGTTCACAGTCATTCTTAGCAGTTTAGGGAATCTGGGCCAGGAATATAAGAAATTCTATCTAAAAATACAGATTAAATAGTGACAAACATAAAAGCAATGGACAAACCAATGCTCCAGTCATTTGAATGCAGGGACTGGGGTCTGAGGACTTAGCTATGGACTGTGCATGCTGAGTGTGAGCTACATTCCTAGACACTAAAACCTTTGAGATGTCACCCTTTGGGGCTGGAGAGGTGGCTCAGAGGTTAAGAGCACTGACTGCTCTTCCAGAGGTTCTGAGTTCAATTCCCAGCAACCTCATGGTGGCTCACAGCCATCTACAATTCAATCTAGTGCCTTTTCCGGCATGTATGCAGAACACTGTATATGTAATATATAAATAAATCTTTAAAAAAAAAGAGATGTCACCCTTTAATAGTTTAGTCAGTGGTGGAAAATTAATAAATGATAATAGAACAACTACCTAACTATCTTGTGGCCAAGTAATGAAAGCTTACTACCCTTTACCTTAAAGAAATGATGATAGAGAAAATAGAAGTAGTTTTACAAATAAATGTGTGGAGGAAAAGATCTGTCTAGTCCCAGCTCCATGGGCAGAAGCCTTTGGCATCCTTAGGAATGTTAGCACTTGTGCCTGCTGAGCGCAGGCCAGAGTTCTCCATTCCTTGTCTGATCTAATCACTGACCCTTCCGGGAAGATTTTCTCAAGACTCTCCTAGGATGAAAGAGCAACTTAGGTGGCCACTCCAAGAGTAGAGCTCCGGGTCCCCTGTTCCTGAAGCCTTCACTGACCCTTCACACCACTGGTCAGTTTCACCTCCTTAGAGACAAACAGGAAGTATTGGGAGTGTGGGAGAACAAGGAAACCATTGGAAACCACCCGAAGCATTAATCTATTTCATGGAAACACAACCCAGTGGGAAAAGAAAGTGTCTCTAGCCAAAGCCACTCATCATAACCAGCCTGTGCCTCCTGTGTGCGTTATGCTCTTCTATAGAGGGTTTGTCACCTCAGGGAGTCCAGGCACTTTCTGCTACGACTTTCTAGCACTTACCTGTAACAGGATAAATAAATTACCCAGAGACAGATATTCGGGTTCAATCTGAAGATAAGGGAAGCAAAGCAAGCTACCAGAGAGCTCTTACCTCTAGAAGGGCTGGGACGTTCCTATTCTCACCATGACTGGAGAATGAATGCCTCCTCTCCTCAATGAGTCTGGAGAACGAATGCCTGATACTGAGACCTTGCTCCTGTCTTATATACCTCCCTAATGCTGGGATTAAAGACATGTGATCCCAGGTGCTGAGATCATCTTTGTGTGAGCTGTTTCTCTTTAGGACTGGATCAGTCTTGTGTAGATCTGGGTGGCCTTGGACTCACAGAGATCCATCTACCTCCTAATCCTGAGTCCTAGGATTAAAGGTGTGTACCACTACCTCCTAGCTTTTGGCTGCTGGGATTAAAGGTGTGAGCCTGACTTCTATGGCTTGTGGCTGATTTTGCTTTCTGAATCCTCAGACAATCTTTAATAAGGTATAAATAATATATCATCATACTTTCCTAACACTATGTTGTCATTTGTACATGTTTCTCTCTTGATTTTTTTTCTTGTTTGTTTCTTTGAGACAAGGTCTCATGTAGTACAGGTTAGCCTGAAACTCACTAGGTAACCTGACTTTCAACTTTTTATCCTCCTGCCTTCACCTCCCTAGTGGTAGGGTCACATGAGCCATCATACCCAGCAGCTTTCTGTTTTTTAATCTTTCTAGAATGTGTTTATCTGTTTGTTTTTAAGTAGGGTTGAGGCAGGGAATCCCTTTCCTCCTAAATTAGTATATAATTTTGCAATATTCTTTTATAGATTTATTATTTTTATTTTGCAAGTGTGAGAGTATGCATGTGTGCATATGTGTGTTTGTTTGGGTGTTTTGCCTGCATGTATGTCTATACACCACATGGCGTGTGATGCCTTCAGAGGCCCCAAGGGTATGTGGAACTCCTGGAACTAGAGGTACAAACAGTTGTTAAGTTGCTGGGTGCTGGAAATCAAACCCAAGTCCTCTGGAAGAGTAGTAGCCTGTGCTTTTAACTGCTGATCTATCTCTCCAGCCTTGGCTTTTTAAATTTAAAAAATATGTATTAGTTGAGAGGCAGAGACAAACGGATCTCTCTGAGTACAAGGTCAGTCTAATCTATATAGAGAGTTTATCTTATATGTAGAGGACACACATGAGAAGGTCAGAGGGAGTCAGTTCTTGCCTTCCCACCATGTGGATCCCAGGGATTGGACTCAGGTTTAGTTGCAGCCGAGCCAGTTCTCTGATGCGGTTCTTCTACTTTCTGAAACTGTAGGCAAGGCTGGCCTGTCGTTCCTTCTAATGTCCTCCAGAAGAGTAGTGGAACTCTTGTCACATAGAGCTTTCACATCTTAAGCTTACTCTCTGATACTTTCTGCATCTGCATTGCTGCTGTGTTTATAGTTTCTAGTTTGTGTTGAGGACATGAGAAGTCACTGGGGTTGGTGTGTTGAGATCTTCCTTTTGTGCCGAAATCTTCATTTTGTGACTTGCCATCCCACTGACTTTTCATACTACTTCTCATTCAATTTTAGTTGATCTCTTTCACTTTTTGGTTGTCTGCTCTTTCTAATATAAATAATGCTAGTTTTTCCCCTTTCTTCCAAACATGTCTTCCCCATTTGTAGTGATATATTGTCTATGATTTATTAAAGCCACTGGAGATCAAAATAACAAAGCCAGCCATACTAGTTAGCCATAGAAGTCAGGCAGTGATGCCATGCACCTTTAATCCTAGGACTCAGGAGTTAAAGGCAGATGATCTCTTTGAGTTCAAGGCCACCCAGGGATACACAAGATTGAATCAGTCTAAAAGAGAAACAGACTCTCACCTTTAAGCCCAGCACTAGAGGAGTATAAAAGATAGGAACAGGGTCTTCAGTAGTCAGCATCAGACATTGATTCTCCAGCCACACTGAGGAAAGGCAGCAGTCAGGCTTGGTGAGAGCTCGTGGAGGCAGGATCAACCCTTTCATCCTGAGGCAGAGGTAAGAGCTAGTGGCTTGGCTGCTTTGCTTTTCTTATCTTCAGCTTAATGCTTTAATAAATCATAAATAATATATGACTGCACAAATTTATTTTCCTTATTGCATTGAGACTGTCTTGGCAGGGATACCCTATTGCAGTAATAGTGACAATCTGCTCTTGTTCTTGATTTCTCAAACAGTGCCATTGGTTAGGCTTTAGCATATAATTTGATGAAGTTAAAAATATGTTTCAGCTGGCTGGGCATGGTGGTGCTCAGCATTAATCCCAGCACTCAGGAAGCAGAGACAGGCAGATCTCTGTGAGTTCCAGACCGAGCCTGCTCTACAGAGTTAGTTCCAGAACAGCCAACACTGTGAAATAGAGAAACCCTGTCTCAGAAAAATTCATACTTTTCAGTTTTTTATTTTTTATTTTTATTTATTTAAATTATAAACAAATGTGCTTCCCGTGTCGATCCCAGCTCCCTCTCCCTCCCCTCCTCTCCAACTCCCCATCCAATCCCCAATCGACTCTCTAAGGAGGGTGAGGCCCTTCATGGGGGATCTCCAAAGTCTGTCATATTGTCCATGGCAGGGCCTAGGCCCTCCCCTTGTATCCAGGCTGAGAGAGCATCCCTCCATGTGGAATGGGCTCCCAAAGTTTATTCGGATGCCAGGGATAAATACTGATCTAGTACTCAAGTTCCCAAAGCTTGCCGAGACCTCCTTGTTGACACCCATGTTCAGGGGGTCCGGGTCAGTCCCATGATGGCCTCTCAGCCATCTGGGGTCCATGAGCAACCCCTTGTTCAGGTCAGCTGTTTCTGTAGACTTCACCCGCCTGGTCATGACCCCTTTGCTTATCACTCCTCCTCACTGCAACTGGTTTCCAGGAGTTCAGTTCAGTGTTTAGTTGTGGGTGTCTGCCTCTGCTTCCATTAACCACTGGATGGAGATTCCAGAATGGCATACAAGGTAGTCATCAATCTCATTATATGGGAAGGGCATTTAAGGTAGTCTCTCCACTATTGCTTAGATTGCCAGTTAGTGTCATCCTTGTAAATCTCTGGGAATCTCATTAGTGCCAGATCTCTCCTCAAACCTATGACTCCCTCTATTATGGTATCTCTCATCCTGCTCTCCTCTATTCTTCCCCTGACTCAACTTTCCTGCTCCCTCATGTCCTCCTCTCCCCTTCTCTTCTCTCCCTCACTTTACCCCAGCTTCCTTTTCCCTCCCCCCCCGTGCTCCCAGTCCACTCAGGAGATCCTGTCCCATTCCCCTTCTCTGGGGTATCATGCATATCTCTCTTAGGGTACTCCCTGGTTCCCAGACTCTCTGGTGATGGTATTGTAGGCTGGTACTCCCCTGATTCATGTCTAAAATCCATATATGAGTGAGTACATACCATGTTTGTCTTTTTGTGACTGAGTTACCTCACTAAGAATGGTTTCTTCTAGTGTCATCTATTTGCCTGCAAATTTCAAGATTCCATTGTGTTTTTGTGCTGAGTAGTACTCCACTGTGTAAATTTACCACATTTTCTCTATCCACTCTTTAGTTGAGGGGCATCTAGGTTGCTTCTAGGATCTGGCTATTACAAATAATGCTGCTATGAACATTCTGGAACAGACATCCTTGTTGTATGAATGTGTATCCTTTGGGTATATGCCTAAGAGTGGAATTGCTGAATCTTGAGGTATACTGGTTCCCATTTTCCAGAAAAACCTCCATACTGATTTACAAAGTGGTTGTACAAGTTTGCATTCCCACCAGCAGTGGAGGAGTGTTCTCCTTTCTCCACATCCTCTCCAGCATAAGCTGTGTTGGTGTTTTTTATTGTAGCCATTCTGAAAGGAGTGAGATGGCATCTTTGAGTTGTTTTGATTTGCATTTCCCTAATGCCTAAGGATGTTGAGCATTTTCTTAAGTGTCTCTGAGTCATTTTAGACAACTCTATTGAGAATTCTCTATTTAGATCTATACCCCACTTTTTAATTGGATATTTTGGTGTTTTGGAGACTTGCTTCTTGAGTTCTTTGTAAATCTTGGAGATCAGGCCTCTGTCAGATACACATCAACATATTACTTGATTTTTGACAAAAGAAGCTAAAATGATACAATGGAAAAATAAAGCATCTTCAACAAATGGTGCTGGCATAACTGGATGCTGGCATGTAGAAGACTACAGATAGATCCATGTCTATCACCATGCACAAAACTTAAGTCCAAATGGATCAAAGACCTCAGCATAAATCCAGCTACACAGACCCTCTTAGAAGAGAAAGTGGGAGGCACCCTTGAACTAATTGGTACAGGAGACTGCTTCCTGAACATAACACCAGTAGCACAGACACTGAGATCGACAATTAATAAATGGGACCTCCTGAAACTGAGAAGCTTCTATAAGGCAAAGGACACAGTCAACAAGACAAAAAGGCACCTGACAGAATAGGAAAAGATATTCATACTTTTCACTTTTAACAAATTATTTTATTAGGAATTATTTGCTGAATTTTATCTAAAATAGTGAGGACAATATAGTAAGTAAAACCTTAAAATCACTATTGTGAAGAGACAAAGAACATCAGAGTGTGTTCCTGTGCTCAGCGAGGAGGTCAGACTTTAGGTAAACAAAAGGAATGAGTAGATTTAGAGACAGTGGTCACTGTGATAATCAGAATCGTGTTTTCTCCCCAAACAGGTTTATTCCCACAGAGCAAAAGAGGGAGATGAAGAGAAGCCCACAGGGTAAATATGAGACAACCTTTCAAGGAGAACATGAGAGTTTTAGCAGAGAACTCAAAATTCACCTAATTCCCCCACCTGACAGGGAGAAAATTGCCAGAAATAATATTATCCTCTCTGTTGTTTTGCCTGGCTCCCAAAGAGGCACCTGGAACTATCAGTAGCTCCAGCGTCACCAGGCCTTCAAAGAAAGAGAGTGGAAACCCACAGGTTTGGGCTGTACCAGCTTTTGCTAATGTCATCTGCTTCAGCCAGAGACTCCAAAACTGGATGCTTTGGGGAAGAAGCAGGGGAGCCCACCGTGTTAGAGTGCAGGGCTATGAGTAGAGCATGAGCCCTGCCTACATAGAAGAAGAAACCCCATCTTCTCATCCTTTGGTCACCTTCTGAGCCTATTCTTTGAGTGATGCAAACCTCATAGAACTATAGCCAGGAAAGAATATGGACAACAGTTACCTTTCTTCTAATGAGGAAATGTAGGAATGGAAGAAATGTCTGGTCCTGTGGTCACTCTCTAGGGCATGTCAGAAAGAGGACCAGTCTTCCTGGTGGGGACCTTGTTTTTAATTCCATTGTGCTCAGGCTTTGGGTATAATTCATTTCAGATCTGTATAGCATATATATCTGGAAAGTGCACTCTGAATTTTCTAATTGTTCTTGAATTCAGAAAAGGTAGCCAATGTGTGTGTTGGTGCTAGTCATGTACTTTGCTGCCTTTTTTTTTTTAGACAGGGTTTCATACTTAGGCTGGACTGAAACTCACTATGCTATGTAACTGAAGCTGGCCTTGAACTCACAGAGATCTGCCTGCCTACCTCTGCCTCCCAGGTGCTGGGATTAAAGGCATGCACCACCACCTGGCTGGCCCCAAACTCTTGTTTTAGCCTCCCAAGTACAGGCATCATAGCTATGATCCACCATGCCCAGCCAGTCAAGCCCTTTAAACATCTCACAACTCACTCATCAGAGGCAGTCTGCAGGGTGAAATCTGTGAGTCTGTGAGCTGTGCTGTGGTCCTGGGCATTGCACTTGGAGGAGGAAGCAGCTAGGCAAGCAGGAAGCAGCCCCTCCTCACCTCAGCAAGCCTGCATGTGAGAGCTGTTCTAAAGGAGAGCAAAATGCTCCTGCCCAGGGTGGTTTCTTCAAAGGGATAAGTTTGTTCACTGGAATAAGTGGGGTTTTTGCCATGCTGGCACTTTGCTATTCTTTAGCACAAGGCACATACAAAGATCTCCCCAGAGGCATTGTGGGGCCCTTAGAACAGACTTGGAAAGGTTCCCAGAAGCCAAACGTGCATGGAATTGTTCTCAAGTGGTGGCGTGATTTTTGTTATGGGGAGAGCCAGGATGTCCCCCAGAGAGATATGCAAAACAATGACACAGTCACTAACTGTCTTCTGCATGTGTTTTCTTCCAAGGAGTAAGAAATGCTACAAGGACAGTGAGAGTCAGGTAAGCCTGAGACTCGGGGCTGTGGTGAAGGGGCAAGGGGTTAGCAGAACTAATGTCTCCCTTTCTGTTTCCTAGGAAAGATCTGCCTGGCTGAGGTGGCCACAGTGGCTTACAGATATATTCAGACGTGACACACGAAAGGAAAGCATGTCTGAGGATCTACAGGCCACGGGGTCCTCTGCAATGGAGGAAATTACCATTCAGGATGTATCAAGGTAAACGTCTGGCTCAAATGAGGAGTTAAGGGTAACTTGCTGATTTCAAAGTTTGAAAGCTTTGGCATTGCTCTTCTTCCAGGGAGGTCAAGGAAGAAGTGGTAGTGACGCTGGCCACGAAAGCGTCGGCCACTGAAGCAGAAGAGAGTGAAGCAGCCGAGGACGCCGAAGGCACAGAATAATCCACTATCGTTTATTAATAAATTATTTTTTGTAGATTCGTGAGTGTCAAAGGCCTTTGTGAATAAATGAAAATCAATGCACAGCAGTTGATATTATGGGCCAGTAAAGATGGCTCATTATGGAATATTCCTTCACACTATGAATATGTCACTGTGGCTGGTTTAATAAAGAAGCGGTAGCTATAAGCTTAAAAGTCTAAAGCTAGACAGGATAGGGTTAGGTGGGAGAACCAGATTGAGAATGCTGGGAAGAAGAAGCAGGAGGGGTCTCCAGAGACACCATGGAATGCAGAGCAATCAGGATTGGAAATACACAGAGGAGGCAAATGAGACTTGGGGCAGCACTTAGATTAATAGATATAGGTTATGTTATAAGAGCTAGTTAAAAACAAGTCTAGACTGTTGGCTGAACATTTATAATTAATAAGTCTCTTTGTGGTTATTTGGGAGTGGGCAGGCAGGACAGAAAAGTCTGCCTACAAATGGTGCCCAAATGTCCAACACCTACATCTACATAAGACCTTAGAAATAATTTAAAAAGTTATAAACACACAAAAACAGAGTCTGCCTACAAATGGTGCCCAAATGTCCAACACCTACATCTACATAAGACCTTAGAAATCATGTAAAAAGTTATAAACACACAAAAACAGAGCCGAATTCAGCTTCTTACTCTCATACAGGCCATGGTAGAGAGACATATCTCCCAACCACTGCTTGTGAACTTGAGCCACCACTACAAACAAGCCGCCAGCAGGCCATGAGCTAAGCTGCGTGGCATGGTTAAGTTTTGCTCATGCAGACAAAAGGCTACAGATATGCAGTAAAGACAGATTTAGATGAAAGAAACCTCTAAACAGGTTACAGTGTGTTTAAAAAATGTACGAAGGCAGCCAGGTTTTGGTGGTGAATGCCTTTAATCCCAGCACTCAGGAGGCAGAGGCAGGCTGATCTCTGAGTTCGAGGCCAGCCTGGTCTATAGAGCGAGTTCCAGGACAGCCTCCAAAGCCTCAGAGAAACCCTATCTCAAAAAAGAAAAAAAAATGTACAAAGGCTTGAGAGAGAAAGTTGAAAGGGTATAAATAGTCATAGAAGAAAATATAATTTAAAATAATAAAGTCCTTAAAAAGGAGTAATGTAATATTTTTAAAAGCCTTGTGAAGATGGAAAATACACAGGAAGTCTGTATCCTGTATGTTATTGCATTGTCTTTGAATTTTTTGATTGTTGATGACTGAGTGACAACTGCTAAGAGACATTTGATTATGTAAGCTGATAGATTAAACCAACCTATATATTTTTTAAAAATATCTTAATTTCAAAATGGAAGTCAAAGGGAATGTTGCTTTAGGGGAGAGGAAATGAGAGACTGTGGATTCATTTCAGGTTGATATGGATCAGCTTTGATCAGGGAAGAACCCCTAAAACTCCTGACTACAGACATAAAGAAGTAAACCTAGAAAAACTACAAGACTCCTAATGTATATTTTACCTACTCAAACATAAAATTCATCTTTGGCTAACTTGTATACAACACACAGTCTATATTTTTATTAGTATAGAAATGTATGTTACCTTTAAAAGTTTATGTATTTTCAGAACAAGGAGACCAGACAGCAATGAAAACGCATGGCCCCGATGATCCAATATCACAAAATGCCTGTTAGTTCTCTCAAAATTTTACACCCAGAATAACTTCAAGGCTGCTGGCTGAGGTGGTCTGGCTTCACAGACTACTCCAGCCAAGAAATTATTTTCTCAAGGGTCATCCCGTCCCCCAGCCCCCAGACCCCGCAAATACCAATGTTATCTAGAGAGTAACTCCCACATTCCCAAAAGATGGGTTATGGATGTTGGTTATCATTTAAGCAAGGTTGGTTACAAGTTATTGGGCATAGGAAAAAGAAAAAAAGAGAGACTAAATGAAAGAGTTAAATTCAAAGATCTCTTCCTAAAGGAAAAAGGAATATGATATAGAAATGAGATTATTGAATCTATTTTAATCCAAAAACAACTATTAATTTCAATATATTTTACATTGGCATGGATTTGGTTTATTGATACAAATTTAAAGTTATTTTTGCTATACTATATGTATGCTTCTACTCTTTTTTGGGGAATTGTGTTCATGTAATTCATTTAAAATGTAATATATAATTATAAATACAGTTAGTAGTCATCTATAATAATCAATCTTGTAGTCATATTAGGTATGTTTTCAAGGTTAAACAGATATATTTAGATAGATTGATGGTCTTCAAACACTTCAAAGATCTACAGAATATGGCATTTAATATGTTTAGTAACCTAAGGCTTTTCATGACAGACACCTCTGCTCCTGGTAGCACCAATTTACTACTTCAAAGAAAATGATGGTATCGAAGAAACTGCTTATGGTGTTTACTTTCTTTATGGCAAAAGCTGGTCATTTGGGCAAAGAAACTGCCATTGCCCCAGTTGCTGACAGTATACTGTCCAAACTAGACCTCACAGGATGCAAAAAAAGAAAAAAAGCTATTGCCAAACTTTGCCAAGACAAGGTATAACAGTCCTTCAAAATTCCCTGCTTCTCAAAAATGTCTGTTAGATATACTTGGCCCATAGATGAAAGATGGATGCCCCAATGATACAGAAGTACTTTGAGTAACTGTCCAAGCAGGTAGAGTCCCTGTCAGTAGGTAACAGTGCACCCTTCTTGGGTCTTTGATGGAGTTGAAGACTACTGGATAATTAGACTTAAAGTTTTCCTTGGTTATGATAAAAAGTTAAATTAGGTATAAAACTTTAGACTCACAAAGATAAGAAAGATGATGGAATATTTTGTCTAGATTTGCCAAATGCAAATGGACTGGATATTGTAACTGTGATTCTTACTTGATAACTTTTTTGTTGTATATAATTTTACTATATTAAATTTAAAACCTTCCTTTTTTACTTAGACAAAGGGGGGAAATGTAGAATATTCCTTTACACTATGAATATATGTCACTGTGATTGGTTTAATAAAGAAGCTGACTGGCCTTTAGCTCAGCAGGATAACGTTAGGAGGAGAATCAGACTAAGAGAATGAATGCTGGGAAAAAGAAGCAGGAGGGGTCCTGAGATGCCATGAGATGCAGAGCAAGCTGGATGGAAGTATGTACATGAGGTAAATGAGCCTCAGAGCAGCACATAGATTAGTAGAAATGGGTTAATATAAGTTGTAAGTGCTGGTTAAGTACTAGTCTGAGCTATCGACGGAGCATTTGTAGTTAATGTTAAGGCTCAGTATAGTTATTTGGGAGCAATTGGCAGGACAGAGCTGATCCATGGTATCAGTGGAAAACTCCACACACCTACAGTTCATTGTGTGAAAGCAGTTGCCATGAAAACCTTGTGACCTGAGTGTGATCCAGAACCCAGTCAGATACACATGGAGATTTGAATGAAAATGGCTATTTGCATAATTGGTTCCCAGTTGATGGAACTGTTTGGGGAGAAGTAAGGAGGGTGAGACCTTGTTGAATGAAGGAAGTATGTCACTGGGGATGGGATTGAGGGTTCAAAAGCCCAGGCAATTCCCAGTTCTCTCTCCTCTTCCTCTGTCCTCTCACCCATCTCCCTGCATCCCCCTCCCTCCTGCTCTCTTCTCCCACTATAATAATTTTTCTTATTTATTCTTCTACAATGCATCCTGATCGCAGCCTCCCATTCTTCCAGTCCTTCCCCCCATGTCTACCTACCCTCTGCTCCAGATCCTCTGCTCCTCCATTTCCCTTCAGAAAAGAGCAGGCTTTCCAGGGCTGTCAACCAAATACAGGATAACAAGGTGCAATGAGACTAGGCACAAGCCTCATGTCAAGGGTAGATGATGCAACCAAGTGGAGGGAAAGGATTCCAAGCACAGACAGAGTCAGAGACACCCTCACTCCCACTATTAGGAGTGCCTCAAACACCCTAAGCTAAACAAACGCTGTGTACAATCACTGTGTATGCAGAGACCTAGCACAAACCCGGGCAGGCTCTGGGACTGCTGCTTCAGTCTCTGCGAGCCCTTAGGAGCCCTACTTAGTTGATTCTGCGGGCTGTGTTCTCCTGTTGTCCTTGGACCCTCTGGCTCCTACAGTATTTCCTTCCCCAAGCTCCACCTAGCGTTTGACTGTGGCTCTCTGTATCGCTTCCCATCACCTGCCGGAGGAAGCCTCCCTGTGATGATTGGGCTAGGCAGAATATTGTTAGGAATCATTTCATTGACTTTTTTTTGTCAGTCTTGAAGAAATCCCTGCACAGCAGGGGTTCCCTGCTGAACCCCCAGATTAGGCACAAACCACATCTAAACACCTGTTTTCATAGATCCTTCACTAAGCAGTGAAGAAACAGCTGCAAATGACCTTTCAGATGTAATTATTAGGAAGAGAAAAAAGTGTATGTGCGTTAGAATGGATTAGTATGTGATGGTATATCTTGATTGGGTATATTAATTAGGTGAACCAAAGGGGCTTTCCATTGCTGGAGTTGAGTCATTCTCAGGAATGAGTCTGGCATAAAAAAGTATCCAAAAATGGGAATAGACCTTGATGGGCAGCTTTAGGGATATAATTTGTGATTTACAAGGGAGAGGGAAGAGGGAAGGGCAAGGTCTGCCAGCACCATATTTGCCCGGGCTTGCTAGCACTCTTCAAGTCGTGTTTATTCTTCCCTGGGTCTCTTAAGACATCCAGCTTCCCGTTCATGGTCCCCCAAAATACACATTTTGAGTGACAGTTCAGTGTCTGAAAGCACTTACTGCTCTTCCAAAGAACCTAGATTCGATTCCCAGCATTCACACGATGGCTCAGTCTCACAACTCCATAGGAGATCTATCCGATGCCCACTTCTAGCCTTCGTGGGCACCGAGCATGTACATGATGCCCAAACATACATTCAGTCAAAACACCCAAACACATAAAATTAAAAAAAAAAAATTAAACCTCTGAATTGTAACTTGAGACTCTTGTATTAAACAGTGAGAGTAGAGTAGAATAAACCCAAATACCTGCCCTTAAGGGAGGGTTTGC